TTCTTCCATATATCTTTTTAAGACATAGGCCATATGGTCTTCTGAGGACATATTTGTGGGGTCAACCCTATCCACAAACAATTATGCTGAATTCAGCAGCAGTGAAACACCTTCAATTTGCATATGTTGTCTGATTCCAAACATATTTCTCCCAAACCAGCAGCATGATTTGCTTCCAAATTTCAGTTGGGAGCACATGGCTATTTCAAGGAATAACTGGCCCCTGGATCCCACTGAAGTTGCTTAACTTTGTTGTTACTCACAGATAGGCAAACATGTTATTTTCAAGGCCATTTTTGTGTCTCCCAGGGGTTAAAAATCCTCAAAAATATGTCCAGATGTATCTAGGGTAATGGAGGACATTTTGATCACATTTGGAGTACCCTCCCCTCCCAGCCCAGAGCTCAAAATGTTATCAGCGTTTTCCTAATAATTTCATTTGTTCCAAAATACTTCCAAAGGGCCCAGGGAAATCTCAAAACATAGTGAAAATTCCCCTGAAGATCCTAGGAGGTATTTAGGAGATATTTGGGGGGGGGGGGATTCAGGAATCGCTGCTGTGAAGGGTGAGACATTCCAAGGTTTTGGGGAGCTAATGTGCCCCCTAGCTTTTCAGCTACCCAGAACTCTTGTAGCTGGAGCCCTTGGCTCTTCTCCATTTGCACTTCCCTAAACTGGAGTCTTGATGGATTTTCTTACATGCAAAACTATACTGTGCCATCCACATATATTTCTGCTAAGATTATACTTTGATGTAGATTTTTTTACCTGTTTGTGCCACCAGGATCTCTATTTGCCTACAGAATGTGTGTGCCCTGCCTTCCAACCATTTCACTCTAGACATAAGCCACTAGAGGTCACATACTTCCACTTTTCAGGCTTTTCAACCCAATTCAAGTGTTCAGATACTTGTCTTTATGTTTCTTGATATTCTTAACTAGAGGTTGCATGCTGCCCTGTGATCCAGTTCCAGCAATGTGGGTGGCTGTAATGGTGCTGTTGGTAGCTGGGAATCTGATATTTCATCTCCATGCTTTGATTGGCAACATAATGTTTCCCAAGCAAGTTGTTCAGGAGCTAACTCAGAATCTGTATGTGATATATAGCACTGAAAATCAGTATTTAGTTCAAATCTCTATCTCTTTTTCATTCCAAATGCTCTAATCTTAGGGTGAGTCAGCATGAACATGAAAAAGTAATCTCACTTTGACTTCAGTACTGTCTGTCCTCATGCTGTGTGCTGACCTCCTGTTGGCATCTTGGGGTTTCTTGTCATAAAGCCCTTCCACACAGCCATATAACTCAGAATATCAAGGCAAAAAATCCCACAATGTCTGCTTTAAACTGGGTTATCTGAGTTCACACTGACATTAAGCCCAGTTCAAAGCATAAAATGTGGGATTTTATTCAGCTGTTTGGAAGGGGCCTTAATCCCACTTTGTCCTACTTTAGGCAAAGTTGGGTTAAAACAAAAAAGACATTGGCCGAGGAAGGAGATGGCTCATTCCCACGTCTCTTCTGCCACTTCCTACTAGCCGTGGAGCTCTGTGGAAATGGCTAGCCAGTATGATGACATCTGTGGCCCCATCTACACTGACCATTTAATGCAGTTTAAATCTAGCTTCAAAATGCAGCCTCCAGACAGCAAACTACCACAGAAGTCGATGAAAAAAAGCTCATTGTTGCTGTAATTGTCATCTGGGCCTCAAATTGGTCACAGGATTTTAACGTAATTATCTGTATAGCAAAACTGCTTTCTTCAATACAATTTTGAAAATGCATTAAATGGTTAGCATAGATGACCCTTGCGATGTCGCTCTGCCCCCTCCTTCCTGATCACGTGGACATCCCATTATGACATCACAGACATTATAGACAAAAGGAAACTGCTGCAGCCTCTCCTAGCTAATAACTTTTGCCATCTTGACAATGGTGATGTTGCTTGGCCACACTTGTCCATTTTCATCTGTGAAATGTCAAAGGGTATAATGCATACCTATGTGTATATATGTGTGGGTGGTCCTTAACTTGCCGCCTTGCACTTCATGTGGTCCTCAAATTGCTTTGCCCTTGTTTTATAAAGAACATCCCATCCCTGCCTTACTTTGGCAGAAAGGATAATGATAAAACTGCAATCTTTTGTTCTGTTTTGTTTGCTTAGTGCAGTGGATTTATTAGGATTAGCAAATTCACAAACAGGATGGAAAATATAAGGCAAGCAGAAATTTATTGCACACAAAAGTGTTGAAGTATGAAATGAAATCAGCTGGAGTCTGAGTATCAAAATGGCATGTTTTCCACATATTCCCATGCACAGAGGTAAATTCCATTTTGTTCAAGGGGTCTAATTTCAAATTTTCACAGGATTACAGCCTCAAGTTGCCCATTGCATGGATTGATGAAAAACCCATTATTCTTGCCCCTTATTGCCAATTCAAATATTATGAAAGGAATATATTAATGTTCAGTTGTAATGGAATTTCTAACCGTTTGGGATTAAAGGTTTTATTTACACCTATTCTGAATGAGCAACAAGCTCATTCACTATATTTGCTTTTCACACTGTTGTATTGGCTGACAAGAATGCTTTTGAATGTCTTAAACAACAGAACGACAGAAATTACAAATGACTTTCAGTATCCATGGTTGGTGTAGTTGAAGTCAATGGAGATAAGTCAATCTACTACAATGCCTAAGGAGTAGTATTTGACTGCAGCAAGCAGCAAGTAAACTTGAGATTTCATATCGTTAGGCAAATGGATGATGGGACAGAGGGATCAACTTAGTATTCTGGACACATCTCTGATTGACAATAAAGCAAATTCCAAAGTGCTAAGGTTTAAGTTTGTTTGCTCATCAGCAAATCCACTGTTTCAAGGAAATATTGCTCTTAGTAGACAGCATTATTCAGTTACTGCCTTTCCACAGTGGCAGATTCCTAGTATCTTTGTCCATAGGGTCCAACAGATGTTACACATTTGATGTTAGAGAACTTTCCACTTTCACAGCTGAACCCCCTTGGAAGAGAACATGGGTCTCCACATGGTGAGCAAGTGTTCATACAGTGAGCAGCAAAAGGTGGCATAGCATCTGTGCACCCCTCTCTGCTTGGAACACAGGTTGTCACAATTCTTTTGTTGGGTCCACATAACACATGGGGTCCACAAGGAGGCCGTGGGTCCGAGATACCTACAACTGCTCCCTGGCTCCTTCGTACTGCTGCAAAGGCAGGAAAAGTGATGGAGGGAAAATAAACATATGACAATTAACTCCTGCCTGCCCTGGATACAAATTTTTATTTCAGAGCGTTTGTCTACACTAGCAAAAACCTTGGGTCACTCATAATGAAAACCTGGATATCTTCAGGACACACACTTACTTTGGTGAGGACCCTGTTTTGTTTTGTTTTTTTAAACCATTTTTGTTCTGCTTTGGGCATTGTAGGGGATACTCCAGAGTTTGCTGGAAATTGAGAGTGGGTTTAGGGCAGTCTGGACAGTTAAGAGAAAGAATGCTGGTGTCCAGACTAAACACCAACATCATCACCCTTTCTCTGCTCTCATTTCTTTCTCTGTGTCAATGCCATCACCACTCCTAGCTGGTCATGGACTTCCATGCGAGTTCTTGGCCATTACAGACATCTCTGCTGGCTTCAGACAAGAGTGTCTCTATGACCCAAAGGAAGGAGGGGGAGCCCCCTCATTCTTCCTGGTTGTACAGTCTCACCATTCTGACCCTAGCAGTGTCACTCTTGCAACCAGCCAATATTTCTAGTTATGCAGGTGCCCGACTCTGATATCAACAGAAGCACCTGTGATATCCAGGAACTGGTATGTATTTTCATGGTTGGTTAGGCATAGCAGTGGAAACATGGAAGAGATGAGATGTGTGATGCCTTGGCAGAGCAGGTATACTGCCCAGAGTCAGGTTGGGCACAAAACAAATGAGACATTGGGATAGCCAAGGGTCAGATTTGGAGTGACAAAAACAACTTTCTTCTCATTTGCATAAAAGCCTCCACATTAATGTGACTTTATCTCATGTCTCAGTTGAGCCTTCTCTTACAGTCCTTAGTCACCTTCATTTCCTGCCTCCAGAGCTCTGGCCCTCAGCCTTTGGATCTCACAAAATTCCTCTTCTCCCAGCTTGGGCCTCTTCTACACTGCTATATAATCCAGATTTTCAAATCAGACAATCCACATTATCTGATTTGAACTGGATTATATGAGTCTACACTGCCATATCATCCAGGTCACAGCAGATAATTTGGATTTTATATGGCAGTGTAGAAGGGGCTTTGGCTCCTGGTCCCCCCCCCCCCCAATGGCCTATTCAACAGTGTTACAGTCACTAGGTTATACACAGTTCTGTAAGTAATAATAAACAATGGGCAGAGAAGGGTAGAAGGTCACCAAGATACTTACAGATGTTCACAGCACAGTCTCCATCACCCATCCTAATGAGAAAGAAGTGAAAAGCAGGTTACTAAACATATTTGCTTACTTTTATATCCTTCGCTTGCATAAAAATAATCAAACTGGTCTATAACAAGCTCACAAAATATTAGAATCAACCGAAATTATTAAAACATTTATTCAGAACCCCATGAAACAACAATGAAACAGATGAAAGGGGCTAAAGTAAAAAATGTGTGTCTTGACACCATTTACCTGGTTAAAAGGGGGAGCTTGCATGCAGTGAATGTGGGGCTATTTTTTGGATCTCAAGATCATTCCAATATGTTGTAGGTTAAGGTTATGGCTACAATTAGCAGAAAAGTTAACTTTAACCAGATTCATTGTAATCAACACAAAACTCAGATTCAACTGCTATCCCAGTTTGGTTCTGTACATGAAAAGATGGATACGATCTTGCCCTTTCCCTCAGAGATTGTCTTCGGCCAGGAATAAAAGTGATGATTGAAAAGGTCTCAAGTGGTGTCTGTAACACCTGACAAGTGTGATTCATTTGGCAGACTATGCTAATTAACCCAAGGATCCTCACCTTAGTTCCTCTCCATCCAGCAGCTTCCTGTATGTAGTGATCTCTATATCCAAGCCCATCTTCATGTTCATTAGATCCTGATACTCCCGTAATTGGCAAGCCATATCCTGCTTAGCCTTATGTAGGGCATCTTCCAGCTCAACTAGCTTGCACCTGGCATCTTTCACAGCAGTGCCCCCACGTTCCTCGGCAGCAGCCACCTCTTCTTCTAGCTTGGCACGCTGTGAATGAAAGGTGCAAGATCTTAACTGACAACACATGAACTGAACTTAGTTCATCTTCTTACCTGAGCATTGGGTAGTGTTTGCAATGTTTTCTCTGTTTCAGTTCAGGTTCCAATTAAAAGAAAGAAGATTCCGACAGAACATCAAGAAAATGTTTCTGATGGTAAAAGTTGTTTGCCTGCTTATGAAAATGTTGGGACTTTTCATTGGAGATTTTTTAAACAGAGGGTGAATATGCACTTCCTAGGGGTACTACTTAGTGGCTAATCTCTGTAATGAAAGGAGATTGGACAAGATGGCCTTGCAGGTCCCCTTTAGCAATTATCATTCGGATTCCCTTTAATACAGTGGTTCTCAACCGGTGGGTCCCCAGGTGTTTTGGCCTACAACTCCCAGAAATCCCAGCCAGTGTACCAGCTGTTAGGCTTTCTGGGAGTTGAAGACCAAAACATCTGGGGACCCACAGGTTGAGAGCCACTGCTTTGATAGGAATTCTTGCTTTTCTTGCTGTAAACTTTATAAGTCACACATGCCTTTCAGAGTATTTTCTGAACTGAGAGTTGTCAAGGAAGTTCTTCTTATATCTTCCCATGCAAACATACCTACATATACTTTCTTGCCATTATCTTCCAATGAAAATTGTTTCCAAATACATATATTCAGCATCAAGAACAATACACATGGACATAGCTGTTTTAGAAAATGTACTAAAGTTGTGAACCAGCATTGTCATGGCATTGTGGAATATAGAAGGCCTGTGCCAGTTATTTATTTCAAAGACAGAAGTCAACTGGTTTCTTTATTACATGCAATAGCCATAATTGTTCCAATATACAATTTCAATACATTATGACAACTTTACAACCAAAGTCCCAAGGGCAATTGTGTTCCTTCTCACCTGGGCTTTGACATTTGAAACTTCTGACTCCAACCTGTGAACAACTCTTGTTATCTCACTAAGTTCTTCCTTGACATGACGTAGGTTGTCACAGTGTTTGGCAGCAGTAGTTTTCAGCTCCTGATACTGAAGCACAAGAGAAAATAACATAGCTGGGAAATGCTAGAGACTGTGTGAATAATTCTTCTGCTCCCTACCAAAGCTCCCATGCAGCTGTAGCTATCAGAATAGGGACAGTATCCAGCCTCCACCAACAAAAGTTACAAGAAGTGATTAACAACTCTCCAGGCTATTTTATTGGGCATCAATTGCACAGGAGATTAGGAAATCCCTTCTGCTGTGGTGGTCTGCTCAGAGCATGCATTATTAGAGCATGGCTGAAACAATGAGAGATGCTAAAGCCCCTTCTAAACTGTCCTTACATCCCAGGATCTGATCCTAGGTTATCTGATTTGAACTGGATTTTATGAATCTCCACAATCAAATAATCTAGGATTAGATCCTGGGATATAGAGCAGTGTAAAAGGAGCCTTAGTAAAAGGTAAAGGTTTTCCCCTGACATTAAGTCCAGTCGTGTCTGACTCTGGGGTGTGGTGCTCATCTCCATTTCTAAGCCGAAGAGCCGGCGTTGTCCATAGACACCTCCAAGGTCATGTGGCTGGCATGACTGCATGGAGCGCCGTTACCTTCCCATCAGAGTTGTACCTATTGATATACTCACATTTGCATGATTTTGAATTGCTAGGTTGGCAGAAGCTGGGGCTGACAGCGGAAGCACACACCGCTCCCTGGATTTGAACCTGCGACCTTTCGGTCATGAAGCTCAGCAGCTCAGTGCTTTAACCCACTGCGCCACCAGGGGCTCCCAAAAGGGGCCTTAGTTAAGTATAATTATCTTAGTATACTTAGTACACTGGTATACTTGACTAAATAACTCATGTTGAGTAATGCCAATGTTAAAAGGTTAGAGCTTCATCCAATACAGACACTCCAAGCTTCACTTCTACTCTGAAAATTTCCTCTACTGGGGTGGACAAAATGTGGCCCTGCATGTGGGTCCCCAAAGTTGTTTGTCTAGTCCCTAATCTACTGACCACCTTTTTATTGAACCGATAAGGGTGAATTGAGACTTCTGGGAGTCTCTAGAAGTAGCATTTCTCAATAAAAAATAATCCCATTGTTCCAAAATACTTGGGACAGAATATCAAGCCTCTTAGATTTCTGGCTACCTACTTAAAAAGCATTTAAAAAACTCAACCACCCAGTATTTCCCTGCTACTGGAAAATTTCTCCTGCCCCCCCCCCCCCTTTCTTCCTGGTGCATCATTTCTTTGTGCCACGAGAGGGCCAGCAGCAGGGAAATGCCTGCTGAGTAAGTTATTTTCTCTTTTTAAGGCTTTTCTGAAGGGTTCTTTTGTGTCCGAGTACCCTGCTGGAAGATCCAGCAGTCCATCTGGACAACCCTTTCCTCATAAAAGCATGACCTTTCTGGGGCCCTTGTGAACTCTAATGTGAGCACAACCAGGTTTTTTAAACCTGAATGGGTGCAAATTAAAGTCCTGTGTGGAACTGCCCTTACTTAAACAAGTAAGCAAGGGGAGAGGCTGGACGGATTGCCAAATACCCACCCATGGCAATTTGCTATGAACATGAGTGGATATGGTCATCATCCCTTTCCCCCATCCCCGTTTAGTCCTTAAAAATAGAGACAAAACTTTCATATAGAGACATGACACTTGCCTTAGTTTCCTGGGGAATGGAAATGAAACTATGGAGCTTTGGAGGGGATGATCACCCCATCCTATCTCCAAAGCTCCGCAGTTTCATTTTCAAGCCTTGGAAGTAAGATAAGCCTTGTGCCTCCATACAAAGGCTTATCTTACTTACTTCCACAAGGCTTAGGGAGCATCCTACGACACTTTTTCACCAATGATGTATGGGCATGTTGCCCATCCCATGATGTCACTTGACTTTCAGCAGAGGCCCTGCCCACAACTGGAATGAAAGCATCGTACAACACTTCTGCCCTATCACAGGAGCCTGTTTATGTTGTGTTGGCTCCAATGGAGCCAGCACAGATCCTTGCCACTCAGGGAAGAAGTGGAAGGGTTGACTCTGGCTTTGTTTGCTGCTTCCCATCAACAAAGGACTCTGCTCTCACCACAGTGCCCCCTTGAGTTCTACTCAAAGTGCCCACCCTTTTCTTGAAGTTTGCAATGTGACATGTCAGTCATCTCCCTTTACCCACTTTTCCAACATACTGGCACCGCTATATTTTAAACATGGGACCTACCTGACAACGGCACCATGCTTCAGCCTCAGCCCGGCTCCTTGAGGAGATTTCTTCAAATTGACGCCGATATAGCTCCATAAAACAGTCCATATTCAGACCTCGGCTGTTGTCCATCTGTACTGTGACACAGGTGTCTGAGATACAAGACTGAAGCTCATGGATTTCCTACAAGACAAATTGGACAGAAGCAGGGAGTCACTGTTAGTGGTATGGATGTCTATTTTCATTAATACAAAAAATGACTTGAGGTTTGATCTCTCAGCTTTCTGAGAAAATAGAAAATACATTTGATCTTTCTCCCATTCCCCTGCCCATATATAAATAATAAATAAATACATTTTATTGATTAGCCCTTAGGCTATATCACCCATACTAAACCAAACAACAAAGCTTTATATGACTTAATAAAACTCTATGTAGTAAGTTAAGTAAGACACTTATAATAATACAGTAAATAAGAGTTATAAAACTGAATATATACACCATAGTTCCTACCCCTCTGCCCATATATGATGTTCAATCAATGGGAAATTGGGTTGTTCTTGATAGACTTTGAAACTTTGGCTTTCAACCTCACATTCTGGGTATTTTTTCTCAAACATGTGGCAGCTTATCAGGTGAAGTGTTGTGGGAATCCATTTGTGCCAAAGACCCACCAAGAATACTTGATTTCTATTGTTCTTCAAATATGTCCTAAGGTGGTGTGAATTTGACCCATAAAGTTCTTGACTGAAAAAGGTTTAAAGCTCAACTTGGTTTAGACCATGGGTTCCCAGACTTGGTTCCCCAGATGGGTTTGCACTACAGATAGCATTGCCAACAGGAAAGGATTTGGAGAATTGTAACCAAAATACTATAGGGAGTATCTAAACTTGAAAATCACTAGCCTAGATAATACTTTATTCCTTCCTCTTATTCTCTTCTGGTGGATTTATAATCCCTAGGTATTCATAGCTATGGTTCTTTCATTCTCAGGTGCAATGATTTAAAAAAATCAAGTGTTTTCTCACCATTGAGAATATTTTTAAAACATGTTTAAAATATTTATTATTTTTCTGGGATTATTTTGTGTGAAAATCAATGTTTTGTGCAAAATTCACTTTCTTTGCTATATGCACAGAAATCACATATCATTTTATCCTTAGGTTGCAATGCCAGATTTTGCAGCAGCTGAAAACTTTTCACTGAGGTGTATTTCCTGCTCTATTTTGTATAATCTTACTAGTCAATTGTATTTTATCCCACTGTCCTTCCTGAAAGCTCAAGATGGAATATGTGATCTAGTCTTGTACTATGCCATGTGGTCCTTTAGGCTTCATTGGGGAAAGTTATTTTTGCCCTATCTGAGATTTTCCAGATATATTTTTACTAATGTCTCATTATGCTTTACCACTCAGCATGTTACCTGGGAAGGGAAGAATAGTCTATAAGCTAATTCACCCATACTTTCTATGCTATAGGTGTGGTCAGGTAATATTTTCTGAGTAGGGGATCCATAGTATTTTCATTGGTTTTAGTTGGCTAGACTGTGAGTTCAGTGCCAGAAGTAGCACCACCTCACTCTTATGGCCAATAGCATGGGAGGGATACCTATCATACAAAAACCTATTCAAATGTTCTCTAAGCCACTCATGGATCTGTCTTCCTCAGCCAAAGTACCCACTTTATGTCTGAGGTACAATAACGTCTCAATTCTTTCTAAGCTTCTATAATCCTTTCTCAGAATGCACATTTTAGGCCATAGCATTGCCAGCACCCATAAGGAAAACATCTTACCTGATAAAAAGTGGGTTTGTAAAAGAAGAGGTCTTTTATCAAAGCCTGCACTTTAGCTTCCTTTTCTGATTTGTCCATGAAAACACAATCCACTTCCTATAGGAATATAGAATTTAAAGGGGAAAATGTTGAACAACTTTAGGAAGAAATGTTAATGTTTGCCATTATCACCAGTCAAGGCTTGGGGATTTTAAAAACACCAAAAATACAGCAAGGTACAGAAACATAAATTGCTTTTCAGAAATGTTTTTTGCCACTTGCCTTTTTAATGGACACATACTCATTCTCAGTACATGTTCGTTTGTGGCACTCCTCTTCAAACCTGGTGAGGGAAGTTAAACATTTTATTAACATTTTCACATTTTATTGTGGTGCTCATGAAATCACCCATTTTTCCTGAGTTTAGTATCAGTCTACTCTAGAATATAATCTGTAAACTGTTAATGTATTAAACATCATTTCTGTTTCAATAAATTACTTCCTCTTGCAGAGAGCTTGATGTTAACAACTATGCCAGCAACTTTCTCTTGGAATAAAGGTGAGATGTAAATTTAATAACTAAAGTAAGTAATTATATAGACAAAACAGGACTTCTTAGGTATTTCACATCAAAGGATTATTTACTAGTGTTTTATAGAGGATAGTCTTCACTTTGAAGAGCTCTCTTAGTAGACCAGTGGTTCTGAACCTCTGGGTCCCCAGGTGTTTTGGCCTACAACTCCCAGAAATCCCAGCCAGTTTACCGGCTGTTAGGATTTCCGGAAGTTGAAGGCCAAAACGTCTAGGGACCCACTGAAGTAGACAGTGTCATGCTTGGGAGTGCTCTCCATTGGAAGGGCTGCCTCATCCAAGACCTGAGTCCCGTTTCTAGTATCAGATTAGATTCCCTAAAACCATGGAGCCCATTGAAGTGTTAACCAACTACTAATCTTGCATTTACTCAATGGGTCTACTCTAGTTGAGGCTAAACTACATTTAGGCTGAAGTCTGGTTTAAAGAAGGAGATCAAAATTCAGAAGAGAGACCAATTGCCCATCAACATTTAGCATCTTGACATCATTTAGCATCTTGACATCATTAGTAGACTAAGCAGCCAAAAACATAAGTCATTATGTACGAGGGGTATTTTTTAAGTAAGGTCCGTTTGAACATAAGTACACAATGAAAGTTTATTTTAAAAAAGTAAATTTATTTTCAGAAAGTACATACTTCACTTTATTTTTCGACATAGTTGCCAAGTTTGTTCAAACACTTATCATACCTCTGAACCAATTTTAAAATACCCCCTTCATAAAAACTTGCCACCTGCTCCGATAACCAAGAGTTCACTGTAGTCAAAGAAGGGCGACCAGAGTGGTCCTCATCATGGACGTTGTCACGGCCATCTTTGAATTGTCGTACCCACTTACGCACTTTGCTTTCACTCATAACAGCATCACCGTACACTTCACAAATCTGTCGATGAATTTCTGCAGCAGGCATGTTCCTTGTTGACAAAAACCATATCACTGAGCAAACCTCACATGCGGAGGGTGAGTTGATAGTCTTAAACATTTTTAAAGCACAGAACAGAACCGTACAGGTTAGCTACAGAGTGGAAACTGAGCACAGTTGTTCCCGAGGCATGCTGGTACACGACGCACGCGCTCGTTGCAGTATGCGTGCGAACTACTAGTGTCTACAACAAAACGGACCTTACTTAAAAATACCCCTCATACTTGCCACTATGATGAGATACACTGAGTTTTCTATTTAAATTGTATTAATTGTTTCCAAATGTATATCTAAATATCTGAATTGGCATGTATGTATTTTCTTCTAATCCATGTGCTTCTTTACCCTCCTTTTGCAATGCTTAGGATGGCACCTGACATGCATACAAGGGAAGTGTTTACTACTTTGATAATCTCCTTGAAAAGATTATCTATAATCAGCTCAATATTCATCAGGCCCTGGACTTCCTAAACTTCATAAGCTTCACCCTGCTTGGATAGCAATGCTTGTAATAAGCTATATTTCATAGAAGAGGCAGAGTTCACAATTACTTTTTTGGGGCTTTGGCTTTCAAAATTCCATGGATGCTTTAAGATATGATTTAAAAATACCATTTTTGAGTAGAGATATTCTTTCTTGTACATTCTTTCATCCATGCATGCCAGAGCTATAACAATGATGGCAATTTAGTAAATGCTGCTTATTAACTGGGCATTGTGGGGTTTGGAAGGCTTCATCTCATCCTCCAATTCTTTTGATCCTGTGCAAGCATTAAAACCAGGAAGTTTATTAAATACCTAGTGAGCCGCCATCCATGAGTGATGCCTGTGTTGGGTGATTAAATCTGTCTAGTGCTGTGCATTCAAAATGTCATTTTGATCACAGGCTGTGATGATAAACCAAACTCACTTTTTTTTGTTGACTTCCAGAGCCCCTCTCCAGTTTTTCATTTCTGCCTGTAGCTGTGCTCTCTCACATTCCATGCACTCCTGTTCTTTCTTCAGGCTGGCTATATACTCCTTAAATATGGGCTCCATGTTGCTTTTGCAGCACTTCCTCTCTTGCAGGAAGTCCCACTTTGTCTTCAACATCAAATTTTGCTGCTCCAAAAATTGGACCTGTCACCCAAAGCATGGATAGCATAGATATTCTGGTTAGAACTAGATGTCAGGTCAGTAACCAGAGAGCTATTTTATAGATAGAGTCAGAACTTTACAAACCAGAATATGCTAAGATAGTTCACTGGAAAACACAGAGACAATGCAAACATTGCTAGAAGCCTTTTTCCCAGTTCTATTTTGCATAACAGACTAATTTATGCAACTGACTGATTCAAGAATCCATTTTAAAATTTAGTCATCTAGCCTTGGGTTTAGAACATTTCTATATGCCTCTAACTTACTTTGTCAATGAAAGAAGCAAACTTGCTGTTGAGACTCTGTAATTCCTTCTTCTCTTGGCATTTTGTCGCTTGGGCTGTGGCATCAATCCCCAGGTTGAGCGGTTCCAGCAAATCCTGATTGCATGTCACCCTGGTGATGATTGGAGAGCAAGGCATGCACATTCCAGAATGCCCATAAGCACAGCCATATCCAGCACCACAACAATCATATCCACTCTTGTAGCCATATCCACACCTTGGAGGTGGACACTTCCCAACAGCAATTCTGGGACCACAAGATCCAATGCCTCCCAGACTTCTGGTACTGAAGCAACCTGCTCCTCCACAACTGATCCCAGCAATTCGGGATGAGCAGGAATCACTGATCCGAGATGCATTCCCTGGGTGTTGTAGTACAGCTGAACAAGAGCTAAAATTTCTAGGGCCACAGGCATTGATTGAGTGGCAAGACATAGTTGGTGGAAGAAAAGGAGGTGCAAGAAGGGGAAAGCACAGCTGCAGAGTGGAAAGTGCAAAGATGTTGTGGTTCCCTATGGAAAAGATTATGTCCTTTATAACTATTTGGGCCATCTGGGTTTGGCTGGCATAAAAATAGGAGAACAAGTGATGTCCCAGAATTTATTAGCTTGGGAAATTGAAGGGAACTACAACCTGGGATGCCATACGTGCACCACCCCACCCCATGGCTGCTCACCTGGCACATGAAAAGGTTTCAGGGATTTCACAAAGTTATTGTTTACTGCATTTGCAATGCCATATTAAAGAGTTTATTCCACTCTCCCCCTTTTTTTCCACACAGAGGGAACAAGACTTATAATTAACACAAAGATGTTTCAAGAAGTGAGGATTTGCATCACCTGTGTTTTCTGATTGTGCTGACAACTGGCTATATGGCCTTTCTATGTTTCAGTTTATAGGCCAATTAGTGAGGCTACTCATACACTCCCATTTCTTGCTGTCCTTCATTCCTCCTCTCCCCCCCTCTTTCTATCGCAAAAATTGCCAAGGGAAATGCTTCCTCAAGCTCTTGTTCTTGAATTTCTCCATAGGAATCTATCTAAGACAACCTAACTATGGTACAATCCATATCCATTGAAGATTGGTTCTTGGGCTTATTGCAGAAATTAGAAACTTGTGGTTTAACAGATAATAGCATCCTTGAAATGAATGACTTCTGGTGCAAGCAACCAGAGTATCATGTTGGAGGACTCAGAAAATACCTAGAGAGAACACCTCTCTAGTATTCCTAGCTTTACCAGCATAATGCTATATTCAGGTTTTGGTTATGCATGCTATAAAATTGCACTGGAGGACCTAGATAATGCTTAGAGTCAACACTGATTTTGGACACAGATAAGTGAAATTGTGGGTATCAGTCCTGCAGATGTGGGGGTTGTATTGTGTGTAGGTATGAGTGACTGGTCAAGAAAAGCTTTACTCAAATTCCCTAATATTCGCTTATTGAGTAAGGAGCTGCATAACTTCATTCAATGACATCTTCATTAAATGAATGAATGAGAGTTGGATAAGGGTAAAACTATGCAGTCTCACATTCTATCACCACCTTATTCTTTGTCCACAACTCCTGAAATTCCTTGGCCAACATGGCCCAGTGAAAGACACTGTTTTGATACAAACCATTACATCAGATTCTTCTGGAATAGAGGGTACTACTTTGCCTTTCATCTCAGGCAGCAAAACATCTCCCCAAGGCTATCAGAAATCGGAAAACTATCAAAAGCAGGACCTGGGCACAGCTCTACTTTCCTCAATTCATGTCCTCTTGGTGGTTTTAATGTAGGGAAGCTCCTAGATCTGCATGTGAATTTCAAGAAAGAGGCAAATATGAGCTTATAACAAGAAGATGGAACATAACTTTATATTACGGTTGTGAAGCACCTTCTTGTTAGTGAATTGCTCCACTGCACAGCTGTGTGGCAATGAAATGCACAATGATACATGCACACATGTGCACCCATGTATATCCATGCACAATGCACACCATTGATGAGTATGCATATACCATGCATATCCATGTGCAAAAGCAAAACAGGTATACCTTTGCTTCTGCAGTCTTGAACTGAATATTATCCTTTTGAGTCAGATGAAAGAATCCAACTTGTTCCACAGGGGAATGATTGTAATTCCCCTGTTCATTTTTTCCATTGTACAGAAGAGAATAATAAAACTGCATCTCTTTGAAATCCTCATATGCAGCAACAACTCTGATATTTAGGAGTTAGGAAGCAAGTTACTAATCATAACCTTAATTAATACATGTTGCAAAGTGAATTGCATCACATAATGTTTTGCAATTACAATCACACAGTTTTATGGCATTACTTTATCTCACCTCACCACAGTAGCAATTGCACCATGCCAGTGTGATCATAAAATCTCCATAGTCTATAATTTTATTTCTAGAACAGTCTATGAAATTGGATTTTCAGAGCATATCTATCTCAAAATGTATGTTCAGTAAACATGTTCTGGCCTAAATATTGATAGTAAAGGGCAACACTGCACCCTAAGTTACACTATCAACATGATAACACTGACCTCAATGCATTCCTTTTCTATCATACTTTATCTAAAATGGAGAGGTATTTATGGTATTGCAAGTAGCATTGGGAAAATATATTCTCCAGAACATCTTTTTTTTCCTTACAAGGGAACAGCCAGGGAATCTAGGAGGATTACTGCATCCCTTAGTCAGATTTATGGACCTCTTCACACTTACCTCAGGCATGCTCCGTTTCACAACTGGTGGAGAGTCAAAGGGGATGAGGTCTGCCGAGTGTCATGTGATTGTGCTTGACAGGCCCCGTCCCCAAAGTGCTGCAAAGGGGCAATTTGCCCCAATGTGATGAGGTGGTATATGTGACAAAATTACCTCACTTTTCCTTGTAGGTGACCCAGCCCTTCAACACACAAGATATAACGTCTGGATGAGTTCTGATGTTAAACAACCGTATTTACTCAAGTATAATACACCATTGATGTGCACCTCAATTTTAAAGGTATGTATTGGGGAAAAAGATTTGTTGCCAAATGTAGTGTGCAGTTTCTCCTTGCCTGCCAGCAATTCTGCGGCCCACCTCAAAATGGCCAACAGGCAAAGGGAAGCTGTGTCCCTCCATCAGGTTGGGGCTGGTGAGTTTGGGTGATGGACAGGAGGCAGCTTCCAAACTAAGGTCTTATTCAAGAGGCCTTCAATACTGAGGCGACGGTTTTGAAGGCCTTGTGAATGAGGCCAGTTGGGAGGCCATGCCCTCCATCCAGCTTAGGCTGGTGAGTTCAGCAGTCTCAACTTGATGGAGGAGCACAGAAGGGTTTACACATGTGATTCTAGCAAGCTATCAAATCTAATGTGCACAACAATTTTGGCTATGTAATTTTGCCAAAAAGAGATAAGCATTAGATCCAAGTGAATATTGTACTTCCATAGAAATAACTCACCACACAAATTCCCCTTTTTCCCATTTGTGAATATTGTTTCTGTCCCTAGCAGTACACAGCTGATGTGATCACAGTTATCCCCACTTTGGTGAGAACATTGCATTTCCGTTTAAATCTAATTACCAGTAGTAATATTTCTAAATGTCTTATCTTTTAGGGAAAGTTAGGTACAGTGTCACCTGGTTTGTTTTTTTTTTAACAGCAAATGCATCCAATGTTTTGCCCTGTCACACAGATGCTTTTGTATGTAAGTTTCAAGCTTGTCTTCACTTGTATAGAAGACAGAATGTGCATCCACTTGTGAAATATTGATCCTATTTGTTGATTAGTGCTGTGGAAAACTTCCACATCTCAGTTAGCCAAACTCAGTTAGCCAAAACTAGTGGGAAACAAGTGCCAGGACTTTTCAACAAACAGGGAAGTTTTAAGGCAGAAATAGACCTCTCAAGAACCAGTATGTAAGCTATCACTATTGTAATTGAAAATCTATGTGTGTGTGTGTGTGCGCATGTGTGTGTGTGTGTGCGTGTGTATGTGTATGTCGATGGAAGGAGCCATTTGTCTCCATTTTGGGGAGGGATATGTGGTTCTTCAGCTGTTACAAGGATAGCCTGACAATGAAAATGTACCTCTACCATATTGAACAGAGAACATCAATGCTGTGGATTGAATATGGAGACTAATGTCATCCCAGATTTGGTTATGACATGGTTTATTTTAGTGAATGGAAACCAGTATTATAAATATTTGGTGTGGTGCCTTGAGAACTGAACTAATCATGTTGGCTCAGAAAAAAACTTGTGCTGTGCATGAGTTTATGGGAATAGATAGAAAAACTCCATCTATTATAATCTCTTCTCCTTTGTGTCCCATCACTTGATGCTGAAGCCCTCAGAAAATGGATATTCTAGTTGAAGCCAACTCTGAGATCTTCCACAGATTGAGGGATGCTTGGCAATGCTTGGGAAATCAAACTTACCATGGTAAATTGGTTACTAGGGTTTTACCCAATATCTAATCACTGTTCCAGTTTAGTGGGATTCAGCTGATTTGGCAGCTGACTCTCCGGAAATGAGGTGGGCAGGGGCAGACAGAGAGCAGGAGGAGGCCAATTTTTGACTGTATCAACTGCATTCGGCTGCCATGAGAGAAAAGCAGCCATGAATGAGTTTGTTCTCTCAACCCCCACCCAACCCCTTTAGCCTTGCCAGAGTCAATCAAAGAAAGAAAGAAAGAAAGAAAGCATATCGTTTTTCAAAGCTGGCATCTGTTTAGTGCTTAGGATAGGGATCTTTTTTAAGAATTCTCCTTTCTTCTGCATTAAATATTCTTAGTTAAATATCTTTCAGTCCTTTTTATTTTACTAGTAATTTCACTAGCGAAGGACTGAAAGGTATTAAACTAAGGCTCTTCCACACAGCCCTATATCCCAGAATATCAGTGTAGAAAATCCCACAATATCTTCTTTGAATTGGGTATTTGAGTCCACACTCAGATAATGTGGGATGTTCTGCCTTGATATTCTGGGATATAGGGCTGCGTGGAAGGGCTCCTAAGTTCCTTCCTCCCTTTCACCTCTTTGACTCTCAGTCTCTGCTATACCCTTCCCAGCCCTACTTTCTGGCTTGTGTGTACTGTACCAGTCTAGCAGCAATCCAACACCCTGCGCCCCCCCCCAGCCCAACTTGTTAGTCCCC